TTGGTTCAATTTGAAATCTCTCAACGACATCAATGTAGTAATGAGATGGAAAAAGGCATAAAATTGAAATTAGGGGAAAATGAATAGCATCAATGTATAAAGTACAATATTTTCTATCGATCAGTATACACGACGACACAGTAGAATACAGATTTATTGAGATATGGAGCTACATAAAGACATTTCATTAAAACGCACGAAACTTTTGAACAACCCAATACAAGCGAGCTCATCAGTAAAACAATGATGATAAGAAGTAGAGTTTATTTTTCAGTGTCAATGATCTCTTTTATCACGCATTTGCGTTTCATAATGACATTCATTTGAATTAGTATAATAATCAATGGTTTTCACCTGGTATACATTCATAACTTATTTTTTACCGTGACGTTTCCTTTACCAACGAAAAATTGATTTAGGCGCTCCCTAGTTATTATTGTTTAAAACACCATCATATGGTATCATATGCTAAAATTTTATCCCAGGTATACATCCGTTAGTTAATGAAATTATCCCAACAATTTGATAATATCTCATTTGTTATATTTATGTACTCTACGAGTACTTCATAGCTGAATTTTGGGAAAAAGTTCAAATCCGAATTTTTGTATGGGGATATCGTAAACAGTAAGAGATGGTGGCCTATTTTTGGTTACTATTCAATACTACAAATAATCGACTCTAACTCTTTTGGTATACTGTATCTTATTAATTCAAAGATATATTAGCAGAAATAGTGGAAATCTATATACACTTTGCCATAAGAGCTTACATTGTACTATCGGAATGAGATCTTGGATTTTTTACAAAGTGTCGGCAGACTTGGGGAACTCCCAACTCTGAAATTTTGAATACGGACCTGCATTTTCTGTAGCAAATTTGTGATCGATAATTTCCATATGGTATTTTGAATTTAATGTTCTTTCGATTTTTCTGAAAATTCCGCTGGTTTGATTATCATAAAATAAATCATTTTTTCATTACGAATCTGATAATCTCTCGAATGGAAGCATTTGTTACTCTCGTCATTTACCATACCTCATTCTTAAAAATCCCACACAATAACTGAGGTGAGTTGATATCATAATTCTCAAATATTTCCATGGAGGTTTGTTTTTCCACATCGTATTAACTGATATTAAAAAAACATTTTCAAGAACAACCTTTCATTCACATATATACAGTGGTGACGAAGAAAAGACAAATTAAATTTCTATGTTTTTTTTTCTTCATTATGATTTCCTACCACGTAGTAACGGCTATATCCATCAATTTACAGTTGTGACGTTTTTCAATTTCAATCGCTTCGCGTCATATCCTGGACAGGGCAAGTTTTTTCGATAGCAATGGTTTTGCTGTTTTCGAAGGTTATTGTTGTGGCCTGTTTGACGATGACATTTGAAAAAGGATGAGGCTGGATCTGGTTTACGCACAGCAAGCTCATGTTCATAGGCTTTGTTGGATACTTTTCTGTCGGTCTGGCCGATGTAAGTTTTGGAGCAGGTGGAACATGGTATATGCCCTGTGCCTCATTGGGAGAATTTTAAACAGAATTTGATTGGGCAGGATAATGATGGAACTTAGCATTGACGTAGCGATTAATATTGGTTGGTTTTCGGTAAACAGTGTGTAGGAAGGAATTATTGGATTCATTTTCATATAAAAAAAAGTAATACAAATTATGAAATTTTGAACCTACAAAAAATGAATTGGCGCTCCGGGGCGACTTGATTGATTCCAGTGGCGCATTTGCTTTTTCAGCTGTAGGAAAACCCGGAAAAACTTGCAGCACCGCATCATCTGAAAATCTTGATCTGCCAATGTCATCTCTTTCATGGATTTTGTGATGAGAAAGTCCAGGAATGGAAGTGAGTTGTTATGTTCGATTTTCCTTGTGATATTTAGGTCCAAATGTGAGGAGTTGATGTGGTTTAGAAATGTATAGAAACTTTCAAATCCATGAGGCCATATAACGAAGACGTCATCTACGTATCGGAGCCAACACGATAAGTTTAAGGTCAGACATTTCTATTGCACTGGTTTCAAAGTCTGCCATGTAGCAAGGACTGGAGAAAGTGGGGAACCTATTAGGGCGCCTTTCACTTGTTTATGAAATTTGCCCTATGAAATGAAATAGGTGCTTGAATCGCAGTGGCTGATGAGGTTGTGAGTGTCTTGGGGAATTTGGTGTTTCGTTTTGAGGACGGATAAGGTTTTGGATTGTGGAATATTCGTGAAAAGGGATACTACGTGAAAGGATTTCATTATTTCAATGAACTGATAGGAATTTTGGACATATGATGAGAAATGTTCGGCTGATTGTTGGATAGATTAGCAAGCTGTTTGGCGAAGGCCTGTGTTGGGGATCCAAAAACACTAACAATGGGAAGAAGTGAGATGTTTGGATATTTTTGGAAAACGAAATATATAGAAGGTGTTCAAGAAGATTTCTCTCTTGGAATTAGCGAGTTCTTCTTGTCAGCGGGAATGTTGGAGTAGTTGACATTTGTTTTGGTCTTCTTTTCAAGATATGTTGTGGGATCTCTGGTTGATGGTTGATATTTCGGAGAGTCGAGTAATGTCATCTTGTCAATGAGTCGGTGGCTGAACTATTCAAATTTTTTAGAGATTGTTTCTCCGCTGGGATAATATTGGATTTCAGAAGTTTTGCTCTTCTCAAAGTAATAGTAATATCTTGCCGGGCTTCATTGGCCAGGTTTTCACTATGCCTTACGTACGTACGCATACGCGCACACACCAACACACACACACACACTTTAAAAATTTGGGGTGCGTTGGTAATTATATATGGATGACTGACTAATAAAGCAATATTTGTAAAAATTCTAGCGTAATCGGTTATAAATGACGTCATACCAAACGAGTTGAATAGGTGAAATAACATTTTTGCATTCATGGTGTCACTAAATTGGTGTATGTTTGGATCTCCGCCTATGATAAAAATACTGGAATTTTTGCAGTGATTCAGACAACAGTTGTGAACACTGAAGAATAAATATAAATCATTAAAGTCATTAGAGGGAGGTCTGCAAACATCAATAATACAAAAATCTTTTTCATTATAGATTTCACAACATTCCATAATCATCTCGGCGTTCAAAACTTCAATAAGCTCTATTAGGGTGCAACCAGGTGATATTTCTTATAACGAAAATTCAAGTTCCACAGTTTTTATGACTCACTCGCAGCGATTGGGCTTTGAGTTTATAATCAGCTATGTATATATTTTCAGTATCATTATGTTTGTACCAGTATTCACGAAATATTGAAAATATAAAGTTGTTTCTCCTAATGAAGAGTTCAATAAAATTTAATTTGTTAGACAAGCACTGAACATCTATACTTAACACTGCAAAGATATCCGCATCACTTTTCAGATATTTTGATTGTTGAACGAGGCAGGTTTCGAAAAAACAAAACGTTGAACGGCATATTCTTTGGCCATATACCAGAATTGTAAACATCGTGTACATTTAATTGATAATGGAAAGCTAATTTTTAATGACGCTGTCAGATTGTTTTTCTTCATTGATTGTTCACAGGTAAAACTGATATGGGGTGCAAATTTTTTCAAGAAATTTATTGAAGAAGTAATTGATAATTTCAATAAAACACAAAGTGTTACTTTATAAGTGCAAGCCAAGTTATTGAATGGTGCAAGAAAATAATTGAATACGTGGGTACATGGGTAAAGATCACACTAAGTCCTATAGGTTTGTCCTTCGTCAAATCCAGAATACGTTAAATGAGGAAATAATACGCTTTCCTGCGGTGAGCTGATATGATCTTAAGATCATGTAGAACAACCATCATAACATAGTGATCTGAATGGAATCTGCAGAGTTCGAAGATGAAATATCTATACTTCATTCGTTTTTCCTCCTCTTTTCGGACAATATTTGCTTTACCTGGAGTTGAAAACTCCATGAAGAATATTGTCTTGATTAGTTAATCAGGTTTATTAGCTAGTATGAGCCTGAGAGTGGGGAATAAATAGTTCCAATAAATTCAGCACTTCTCATTTCCCACAACGAATTCAGTATCATCTGGAGCATAGAACAACATCAGTGTCTCGTCAATAACGTAAAAGCGCCGTAGATGGACCGCATTATGACCATCCTGGCGGGCCATCATGAACTCCTTAGTTTTAGACTTAGGCCTACAAAACCTGAGGGAAGCGAAGGTTTTGTGCTTTGATAAGCCGAAGTTTTCAATGTTGCTGCCCTAGAAAAAAAGCTTCATGGTCGCGGACCATGAAGATGAGATAATCCGTGCTCCTGATGAATTCACAGGCTCCATCCAGTACCATTCTATCATGTAGACACTCCAAACTCAAAAGTACACGGTCTTCTTGTTGTCCGTGGAACGGAAGATTTGGGATGCAAATTCCTTTGGAGATGAATCACTTTTTGATCTTTACGTCGATTTGATACAGCTCCTCCCGAATCCACTTTACTACTCCAAACGAGTAGAGTAAGAGTGGAACGGCAAGCATATTCCTAGCTCTTTACTGTTCTTTACTGTTATAACCTCTTGCGTTCTTCCACCCCGAGGTAATTATACGTCTCTCCAGCATCCACATGGTCCAGAATGCTTCCATTTACAAGCTGCACGTCCTCTCCATAATCCATGTATCGTCCTTTTTTGAGATGGACAGTTGCACATTTGAGTGCGGGAAGCCGGTAATGTTTTAAGATTCAAGAGTAGAAAGGGCATCATTCCACCAAGGACTCCAATAATCAGAACAACCATCTTGACAGAGTGGTCTGGATAGAGTAAGCGGAGTTCGAAGAGAAAACCTCGATATTTTATCCGTTTTTCCTCCTTGTTTCGGACGATATTCGTCTCGCCAGGAGCTGAAAACTCCACGACAAATATTGTCTTGCTCTGGTGGTCAAAAAGGACTACATCAGGCTTATTAGTTTGTATGAGCCTGAGGGTGGGAAATGAATAGTTCCAATAAATTCGGCACTTCTCATTCCCCGGAGCGGAGGGCAACACCGGTGTCTCGTCAATACCGTCATTATTATTATTATCAATACTATTATTATTTACATATGTGAGAGAATAGGTATCGATATCTTTCGATGGAGTACGTTTTGCAATATCAATTGGGGCTCAGAATGACCATTTATCATTATACACCAAATCAAGAAATCGGTAAAATAAATCATGCGGCAAACAGACAGGTAGAAGTGAAATTCTATGTTGAATATCGATGTATGTTTGTTCCTTATATCTTTTGTACTCTTCTTTCAAATTCATCTCATCGTATAGATTACGGATGATTTGATATGAATTGTCATTATCCTTTCCGTAGTTTTCTTTCATTAAAATTTTTTGGCGATCGCTAGCTTTTTCAAGAGTTCTGATTGCTAGCCAAGAAAATTTGCCTTCTCTAATATCGGTACCAATTTTGCCAGTTTCTTCCGGATTTCCGTAAATGTCCAAGAAGTCGTTCTGTAAAAAAATATTAGGTATTGTATAATCATGAATGAGTAGAAGTCAGTAGAAAATTGGTAATGAATAATTGTTAGNCCGAAATAGGGGCTATACATAAGTTCATACTTCTGGAAATTGTTTGTGATATCAAAAAAATTTTTTTTTCTGAAATATCGAAAAAAGTCAGTTTCGAAATATCTTATGAACATCAATGATGAAAAAAATCTACAAAAAATACCTCATACGCCTACTTTCGAAAAATTTTGACCGGAAGAATAACCGGAAAAACAACCTATAGAAGTTCCATTTTAATTTTTTGAGTTAAATTTTTTGTTCACAAAGAACTGATAATTAATATAGTACAAAATTTTACCTGTATTTGACAGTAGGTTCCCATAGATGACAAAAGTGACTTGACTTGGTGGTGAATTTCCTTATCTGAAATGTTCGCTAGAAACATCGCTGCTGCAACTGAGGTATACATCGCCAAATGTACAGTCTTACCAATAGTCAAGGTGATATAGTTACCAAGTGTGAAATCATCTAGATTTCTGGGCATCATATCCAGAGATTGCCCGATAAATGTTGTGAAATTAGATTCCAGAAAGTGCTCTAGAAGATTCACGTATTGTGGGTGCGTGGAAAAATATTTCTTCAGAATGTAGTAAACACCATTTTCCAAGTAAACACCATCTATGATTGCTCTCATTCCGACATTATTTTTTCTGAACCAGCAGAGTTTTCCTCCCCGTGTCCATGAATTATCAACTATATCATCAAACATGAGCACGAATGATTCTACCTACAATAAAATAGAGTTGGAATATACAGGGTATAACATAAGTACGTTAAAATATTCAAGTGACGTATTCATGACATAATTTCAAGAAAAAAAGTCTATATGAACTTGTGTCCGAAAATGCTTCGTTTCGGAGATACGGGGTGTTGAAATTGAATTTTTTGTTCGCTTTTTGAAAATAACTTGCAAAAAATAAGTTATTTGCACGAAATTCGGTACCCGGGGTTTTTTAACGTGGAAAATCATAATTTCTTAATAATTTTCATGTAACATCTAGAGGGCGCTGCGTACGCT